GCTCCGCGGAGCTCTCACGGTGCCGCAATTTTCCCTCGCATTCTCAGAACGCCTCGCGGGACGAAATTATGGACAGCAAAGGCTCGTTCATCTCGAACTCGCGGGCATTAAGGTGATTCGATGGACGCCATATTTTGTGTCAGAACGGCATGCGATGTAGCGCATCAATTGGTTCCATTTTTTCAGCTACTCGTCATTTTTCTCCAATTTTGAGATCGCAATTCTGTTTTCAGGAGACGAGAGCACTCACCAATTTTAACAAAGAAATTCAACGTAATTCAACTGTAATTCAACGTAAAGGCGTGGTTTTTTAGAGAGAAAATATCGCATTCGAGTGCAGTTTCGATATCAGTATCGAATGCAATGTTTTCTCTCTCTAAAAAAACCACGCCTTTATTACGTTGAATTTCTTTGTTAAAATTGGTAAGTGGGTGCTTTAATCTCCTGACAACAGAATTGCGATCTCAAAATTGGAGAAAAATGACGAGTAGCTGAAAAAATGGAACCAATTGATGCGATTTTGAGATCGCAATTCTGCTGTCAGGAGACTAAAGCACTCACTTACCAATTTTAACAAAGAAATTCAACGTAATAAAGGCATGGATTTTTTTAGAGAGAAAACATCGCATTCGATACTGATATCGAAACTGCACTCGAATGCTATATTTTCTCTCTAAAAAACCACGTCTTTATTACGTTGAATTTCTTTGTTAAAATTGGTAAGTGAGTGCTTCAGTCTCCTGACAACAGAATTGCTATCTCAAAATTGGAGAAAAACGACGAGTAGCTGAAAAAATGGAATCAATTGATGCGATACATCGCATGTCGTTCTGACACACAATATGGCGTCCATCGAATCACCATAGGTATGATGGAATATTTTGTGATGTGTATTTTTATCCCAGGGAGATAGAATGAACGTCGTTAAAAGTATTCCGTATAGCGTAGAAGTGTATATGGAATGGGATACTAAGCCATGCACTAATTTTGACTAATATTTTTTAAACACGTGTTTAAATCACGACACATACTTAAACACACAAAAAAATACAATTAGTAAATTGTATTGCATTTTGCAAAAAGGAACCAAGAGCATTGCAATGTTGCTAAGATTGTGCAACTTCTTTTGTCTTGGAAGAAAAACCTGATTATCCATTAACAGTTTCTATTTTACTCGCTGAAAACTGTAAATTTAAGACAAAGTTACAATGTAAATTTCATATTTTTTCATGGTTACAGCAATTTTATTGCAAAGGATGAAAATTTTTTGCCAAATGTCGTTCTACTCTTCGTCTGGAAAACAATAGGAAAATCGAAACAATATCTTTCAAATCAAAGATCCGAATCCCATTCATGTTATCTGTTGTAGGCAAGCAACAAATACATATGTGCATGTACATTTTATTTTAACAAAAACTCGGTGAGAAATGAGAGGAGATACTGAAGTCACTTCTATAATTGAATCAGTGAGTTCGAAAACACACGAACTCGTAAAAAAAATTGTTCAGGAAACACCTAAAACTGCGCAGCGGGCGGAGAAGTTAGTGTAAGAAACACCTTTTTGGTGCCAAAGGACAAGTACTTAGAGACTTTGTAAAGCACCAAGTTGAAATCGATAAACCATGTATGATGACAGAGAATTAAGCGTTTAAAAATTTCCGAGTTGGTGTGTTTTCGTTCTCACCGACTTTCAGATACTGATTTTTCATAGTCTGCCCTGAAAAATGTATATTTTTACCTGAATAACGCTTGAATATTTGTATAACTTGTTGGTACAAGTTATACTGAACCGAAAAAAGAAAACCGCAAAATCGGATGGTCACCCGTTTCCCCTTGAAATGGCCAAAAATTGGTACTCCCGATAGAATACTTCGATTTTTCCCTTTTCTGTCGCTGTTTCGAGCTCTTCCGATTGCAATTTCAAAATTTCCTTTTGCGTGCAGATGCTTCTATCCATAAGTGTTACTAACCGTAAAAAAGTGAAAATCGGAAAAAAACCCGAGTTGGTGTGTTTTCGAGCTCACTGATTAAATTATTTTATACTGAGAATTTTCGTTCTAAAAAACTCATTATTATGTAGAACGGTGCATGTTGCTGCAAAATGGAAAAGTTTTCCTGCGTAGTCAGAAGGGTTATGAATGCAAATCGATAGAGGGACGTAACAAGCTCACTCCATCACTTTGGTGAGAACCGAGCTCTCAGAGACACCACCTGTTGATGGGCGGTTTCGACCTCGCTGCCTCTTTTATGTCTTTCCTCTTTGAGTAAACACCGCGGGCTGTGCTAGGGTTGGTAAACGGAAGAGATTACACAACCGTGATCGTTAAATCTCGGACACTGCTATCATATTTCAAGCAATATCAGGATGCATAACCTCTTGGTAAAACCTCGACCTGAGAAAGCTCGGGTGAGAGGATACACAACGAGCAGTTGGTCTTTATTTTGCAATTAGGAGCTACGATTTCTGGCACATCTGTAAAAACACGTATGTGCATAGTGAAATTAATGGTACACGCGTTGTTCCTAAACTCAGCCAGAAATTGAAAGTTCCAAATTGCAAGACGTTGTCTAAATCTTCTTAATATTTCATACTAATAATATATCAACCAATATCGAGGTACATAACCTCTTGGTAAAACCTCGACCTGAGAAAGCACGGGTGAAAGGATACACAACGGGCAGCTAGTATTCTTTTTGCAATTAGGAACTACAACGTCTGGCACATCTATAAAAACACGTGTGTGGGAAGTGAAATCAATGGTGCCTACGTTGTATCTTAACTCAACCAGAAATTGAAAGTTCCAAATTGCAAACCGTATGCGCAACGGCTGCACGCGAATCAAAGCGCGTATTTATCTTCGATTGTAACGTTGCTCTCATCTGCTAATGTTTTATTTTTAATCGATGTTTTTTACAATGCTTCCTGTCGTTTTCTGAAGGTTTTCCGGAAATTTTCTGAAATGATTTAAAAATAAAAATCATAGAAAGTTTCCGACGCGTTACTCTCGTTTTTTTCATTTGCTTGAATCAAAAAACGAATCAAATACGGTTAAAGTTTTTGAATCGTTATAGTTGAAATACATATTTCAATTTAAATGATAGTAAAACAGGGCAGTAACTGAAAATAATGACGCGTATTCTTAGGTTTGCGGCGATTTCAGAGTTGCGACAGCCAGGGAAAGGAACACGGCTGAGACATCTTCGCAGTTTGACGCGCCTTCAATCCGGCTGGCTGCAACATGCCTACATCCGTGGTCGAATAGTTGTATCATTACGCCTGCCGTGAATGAATTGAGATACCAACGGCTGCACGCAAAAAAAGCGTATTCTTCGATTGTAACGTTGCACACATCTACTGATGTTTTATTTTTAATCGATGTTTTTTTACAATGCTTCCTGTTGTTTTCTGAAGGTTTTCCGGAAATTTTCTGAAATGATTTAAAAATTAATAATACATGCGTTGTTTCTAAACTCAGCCAGAAATTGAAAGTTACAATTTGCAAAGTGTAGTCCAAATCTTTTTGGGACGTCAAGGAGTTTATTATTGCAAAAATGTTTAGGTATGTTCGAAACGGAATTGGCTTTTTGGTGACTTTGAAAGCCTTTTTCTCGACTAGAAATTGATTAAATGAAACCCAAACAACTTCAGGCATTTTCTTTATTTAAGTACTATCCGGGAATGAATAAAAAAATCGTGCAATTGCCCCGTTGTATAATGGATTTGCATTCCTGAAATGAAAAAAACGTTTTCCTGTCAGAGAAACGACGAGCAGCCACGAGGAAAAAAAAGGAAAATCTGCAAAAGAGGGTCACATCGCAACTTTATCCCGGTGAAGTTGGAGCGAAGTAAATCCACCGACAACGAGCCGAGAAACTTTGTTAAATCATGAGGTAAACTACATATGAAAGGTGTAGAAAATCCGCGACAGCTTAGTCGAGATGACATGCGAGGGCAGCGAGATACTTTTTGCGCGGAATGATATCCCTGCAAAGCTCGGATTTGCAAACGTGCCGTGGTGCCTCTCAAAACCTGACACCTGAAGTCAAACGAGATCGTGCAGCTCTCTTCCTTGTGTCAGGCGTCAATTCTGCCGTGCTAAGGAAGAATGCCGTATGAACCTTTGAGCGTTGCCAAGTTTTATCTGACAAAGCACGAATTCCCTGGCGAACTTATGAATATTTTCCCTCCAATTTTTCAGATAATTTTGTTCGCAATTTCACCTAAAGTTCCTGAAAATTCCAAGGAAAAACATTCACAACCTTTCTCAAAATTAAACATTTTACCGACGGAAATTTGACAACTCTCTAATGTTCATACGGCATTCTTCAGGCTGCGTAGGGTAAAGCCCTACGACTTGGAGGCTGCGTAGGGTAAAGCCCTACGACTTGGCTACAGGGGTGTTGAATTAATCAGCAACCATGGTCCCTCTGAAATTAAAAAGTGATGCATTTAATGCAGGGTACCACTTTACAGTGGGTGTCCATGATATCGATGGCTCCTGTTGTAAAATCGTTAAAATATCTATTTTTGTTCGCATTTGCCAACTCGTTGGTATCTGCTTCTTTTTTAGTATGTATGTTCTTTGTATGAATGTTGAGGATAAAGTAGGTAGCAATAATGAGAAGCGTAGGTATGGTCTGTATGTTTTATTAATTAAGAACAAAATCTTATGACATTAGTTTTAAGATTAGCTTTAAGATCACACTAACATCAATGTAATTAATGCCCCGTAAGGGGCAGTTGTACAATTTTATTTTAATAAAAAAAAAAAAAAAATACGGCATTCTTCCTTAAAGAATTGTAGATTGTTACTCTGTAGCACGAAGGAACTCGTCGTGTAAACCTTCAAACGTTACCGAATTTCTTTGGGAAATCTGGGGGAAATCTTTTTCAAATCTGGGAATGAGGGCAGGTGATCATTTGATATATGATAATTGATAATTGGTGAAACATTCAAATCTTTGATCAAGATTAATATCGATTTCCTTTTTTGTTACAGATAAACGACGAAGCTGTTGAAGAGCTGCGGCATTTGAAAGGAAATGCACTAACATCTGATTCAAGTAAGATTTTCCCCTTTTTAAAAAAAGCTACTTTTTGGGTGTTTGACTGTTTGATTTTTGTATGCAATATTCATAGATTTCAACGATTTACCTGTTATCTGTAGCATATAGCATATGTAGATTCAGGCAGTTGTTCGGAATGACCCGTAAGCAATTTGAGCACATTGTAGAAATCACTTTCATTAGAATTTAAAGTTTAAGCAATTTTTTTTAAATTTCCTGGGCTTGTTATTATTAAGTAGATTGAAAAGCTATTTTAACTTGCGCCATCAATAAGACGAAATATTTCAAGAAAATATGCTCAGAAAATTGAGATATTAAGCAGTCAAAGTAACGAAAAAGCACAAAAACATACCTCAAACATACGAATAGATAAGGAGACAATTTAAACATGGGTAAACAACAAAGGTCAAGTCGCCACTCAATTTTTTATTTATTTTTTGTGTTTTTTGCAGCTAAAAATGAGCTGGTAACAGCTCGAAGCGTCCTGCCTTTTAGAGTTTCTCATGTGTTTAGCCTTGTTTACGAATATTTTTATTTCCTCCTCATTCCGTCAAAGTATTTATATGGGATACTGTAAAGATTGTGCAACTTTGTTCTCACTATTTATACAAAGAAACGCACACAAACTACTCGCCCTTGGATAGGAATAAGTGTAAAATCGGAAACGATACTTAGAAAAAATCATTGACGGTGCAATTGCAAATGTTTACCACGTTGCACGATCTAAGTAGGATAGGAAACAATGCATTTCTTTGTATTTACCGACCAATGACTGAGACTCGCACTTTTTTTGAAGACTATTTTCATGCCACCTATTTCTAACAAATTAGTCGAATTAAATAGATAAGACGAGTGTTTGAGCACGTCGACCAAAGTTACATTTGGAAAAGTTGCATTTCATACATGAACGACACGAAATTCATTCCAATTTATTTTTTCCACAGCAGGCAATGGCGGATCGATCTCCGTCGTCAAAACCCACTCCGCTGTCTTCACGAACATGAACGGGAAACAAGAGGGGCATGCAGAAATGAAAGAGCAAGGTGAGTCCTTCTTTAATCTTTCACTAGAGACTTTTAATTTTCTCCTCGAACACGAAGAGATTCAAGCAATCAACCTATCATCCTAACTAGTTGGTAAATATTCTCTCGTCAAAATGTCAACGTCGAGGAAAAATTTTGCTACGTGAAATCAGTCGTTAAATTTTGTCCTCAATACTAAAGCTCGTGAAGAAATCGTCCTCCAAACCTCATTTTCTCGGTTTTAACCTGACGCTACTTAGTGAATTTCTGATAAACTCAGTTCAATTTCAGTCTGTATTTTGCACCCTCTGATGACGTCACAAAAACTTTTGAGATCTGTTATGAAGAAATTGGAGACCTAGTTGAAGCACCGCTCATTCTCAGTTCTACCGTGCTGAGGAAAGACGCCGTACGAACCTTCACGCGTTGATGGATATTTTCCTCCTAATTTTTCAGATTATTAAGTTCTCAATTTCATCCAAAGTTCCTGAAAATTTCAAGGACAAAAAATATTCATCAATTAATTTCCTTATAAATGAACGTCCATCGAAGGAAATTCGGCAACCCTCGATTGTTCATACGGGGTTCTCCCTTAGCAAGGTAGAGTTGAGGTTCGTATGTAAAAATTGCAGACAAAATCAGTCGCATCGGGAGACTGATGGAATACTAATACCGTTTGAAACTAAAATCGTGTCAATTCCTCTGGATACCAGTTGGAAACGGAGTTATTTAGACGTGCTCCGATTCAGCAAATCCCACTTGACACTTTTAGGTCGCGACCTGAGAGCCGAGATCGCCTCTTCATTTCTACGGTATTCTAATTTGCTCGTGTCCTTTCGCGATGGATAAATTAGCATCATCCCTTCGCTTTTTTGGATTCTCACACCTGGTAAAAAATTTAACGACTTAACGACTGTTAAGAAACATGTGAAAATCTCGTAAATTTAAAAAAGTCAACTCTTGAAAAAACGGATTAAATGATGGTGCCAAAAGCCTCCTTTTGGATTCTCGTACCTGGTAGTAACGAATGTTTAGCAACATGTGAAAAACTCGTAAATTTAAAAAAGTCACCCATTAAAAAACGGATTAAATGAAAGTGCCAAAAGTCGAAAGTTCCAAACCCAGAATGTCCAAAAATCCCAAAAGGATTCTCATACCTGGTAGTAACGAATGTTTAGAAATGTGTGGAAAACTCGTAAATTTAAAAAGTCAACTCGTAAGAAAAACGGATGAAATGCTGGTGCCAAAAGTCAAAAGTTCCAAACCCAGAGTGTCCAAAAATCCCAAAAGGCCAAATATCAAAAATGTCCATCAGAAATGATAAGTCCGATCCGAAAGTAGGCGAATTTCCAAATCGATGGAAAGAGTGAGTATTTTCTAACCGTTTTCAGGCGTCTGTGTCAGAATCAGTATCGGCGGTCTCGTCTTGCGTCTCCGTTGATACACTAATGGAGGAAACTTTTTTTGAGTGTTTTCCCAATTAAATTAACGAAAAGTTGAATTCAAGCATAAAAAAACATCAAGGAACAAACAGGAACAATTTTGACAGGAGCTTTGAGTTTCTTGTGAGCGGGCAGTTCAAATTCCTCGAAACCAATGTGAAATGAAAACGTTAATATCCTCGTTAGAAGTTGGTTTCAGTAATTTTCGTTGTGTGAATCGTGTTCTACGTGAAATTCTGGTTATGAAACATGCAGCAGATTGCTTAAATTCGTACCTTGTCTAGTGGTCCATTACTCTTAAATAAGCACTTCAATCTATGGAATGCCGATGCCTTCCGAAAACGCCTTCAATTGAGCGAGTAGGCAAAACGAATCCTACGAGTACGAATAGTGGTATCCACCCAATTGTATGCACTGCCAGGACTTTGCAGTAGATCTTTATGTGTAGTGTTGGTCATTTACAACCATAGAGTACATAGAGTCGTAATGTAATTGGGAGAGCTGGCGCCACTTTTAAGCATTTTCCATGTCCCGAATTCCGAGACTCCTGTGTGACGCCGGGTCACTTTTTCGATACATAATCGATTGTTTGCGATACACGGGTACCCGGCCATCCGATGACAACAACAACAACAACGAAGGAGATAGGAATCACCATGTATTCCACACCGCCATTTTGGATCGAAAATGTATCGAAAAAGTGACCCGAACTCGGCGCACACCGGGCTCGGAACTCGTCGAGCAGAACATGGCGCCAGCTCTCCCATTTACATTACGACTCTATGTACTCTATGTTTACAACCTGATGATGTGCGTGCCGATTTAGAAAAACAAGAATGAGCGTTAAATAAATCCTGAAGTTTATACATTTGAGTGAGACGTTGTAATCGGAATGTTGGATTCCGAAAAACGTTTCAATGACTATTCTCTTGCTTTGAAATTCTACACGTAGGGAAACAGAGAATAAGGGAAATGAAGCAAAAAAAGAAAATTGAAAATAATGAGGGAGAGGACCCTTAATCTGACAACCTTGTTAGGATTAATTACACATTTATGGCTCAAGAGCAAACATTGTACCTAATTAAAATCTTGCTTTACCTCGTCTCTGGAGACATCGCCTTTGCCTAGCAGCGTTGCGTCGCATGCGGAAAATCCGTTTGGAAAATGACATGCCGACGATAATATCAATTTTAATTTCTGAGAATAATAAACGTGGCTAGATGTCTAACTGTTTAGTATCCTATCATAATCTTAAAACTATCAGCTTTCCTCAAGTTTAGAGTATTTCTCAAATGTAAGAATAGTTACTTCAGCACACAGTCATAAGCTCTACTTTTTTTTAACTACCGAGTTTAATTCCGAATAATAATCAGCTCATTTCTAACATACTGAAACTGCATACATCACACAGTGGATCGAGTCAATGGAAAAGTTGGACAAAATTTGGATACTTTAAAGGCTTATAAGGCGGTTAGGTGTCGTAGAGCGCGAGGGAGTGCTATAAAGCGACCTATGTGTTCGTAAAGACTTATAACTCCGTTTTTACGAAACTTTGAGGTTCTAAAAATGGTCCCATTAGTTTTTGCGGGAAATTTCCTGCGCGAGGCCCTCCTTCAAATTTAAAATGTGACGAAATAAACATCTAAATTTGCAGTTTTAGTAAAAAATGTCATGTCCAACCGCTGTAATTCACTCGATCCACTGCCATTGGCGGATCCAGCAAATTTGCAACACTGTTTTTCTCCATTTAAACCTATGGAAATATATCGATTCTTGGAGGGGCCAGGTGCCCCGACCAGAATCGATTATTTAACATGGGTTTAAATGGAGGGAATCCGTTGTTGCCAAATTGCTGGATCCGCCCCTGTCCACTGCGCGTCAATTGAATCGGCTCATGTAAAAAGGACGGAAGTTTAAAAATTCACGAGCCCTAGCTTTCCTGAATAACAACAAAAACCAGGGCTCATGAGTTTTTGAACTTCAGCCCCTTTTTGCACGGCTACAGATCTAATTACGCGGTGGCCGCCCTTGACGAGACCACGAAGGCCAATGTCACCTTTTGCGAGGGTCCCATTCGGAAAGAATGGAAAATTTCTCACTCACCACTCGAGCCTCTGTTGCAAAAATGTCGTAAGCGCATTGTTAACGTGAGCCTCGAGGAGTACGGCGATATATGCTAAAAAAGTATCATCTTGTAATCCAGATCGTGGCATCTTAACGGCATCGCGACGAATTGTTATTTCTACGGGTCGTGGCGCAGCTGCGTGTGTTTTTCTTCTCGGGAGGAAACACTCGAAGCAGACACGCATGCTGCCAGATTTACCACCTAATTCAATTCATTTTTTTGCGTGGTGTGCATGAAAGAAAATTCTCGGCGTTTTTACCACGGCCCGTTGGTACCTTTACCATCTCACTTTTTTTTACCAAATATTGGTAATTTTACCAGGACAGACTGGCAAGCTTACCTAAAAACCGGTATTTTTACTGTTTATTTCAGGTAAGGATACAACTTTTATTGGTAATCAATTCCCGGTAACTCTGCCATTTTATCTCGGTAATTCCACCACAGTCGATAAAAAATATTGACGTTTTTACCAAGGTCCAGTAAAATTACCGAGAAAGTTCAATAATTTTACCGAGATTTCTCGGTAAAATTATCAGTCCCATAAATGGTAATTTTACCAAGAAAAAACTGGGATCAAATAGAACCCTGAATTCTTGGTAATTTTACCCTTTTCTCAGTAAATACACCGAGATTTTTTTTCAGTGTGGGAAAATGGAGGGTTTTCGATACGATTTGGCACACTCGCAGATACGGAAGTAGCTTGTGGGCGTCCGGCGAGCCGAGGGGGTGGCAATGAGGGGAGGAAAGAGAGCGGGAAATGAGAAAATGAAGCAACACTCTGTCAAATTATTGCATCCAGGGTTGCAAATGCTGTCGTCACACCGTATCCCATCCTTGAAATTTTCTTTTGATCTAGGGGGTAAGCAGCGCGGTTTCTTTCGCTAATACTTCCTCATCCTCATCCCACGTCGCGGAAATAATAACCACGAAGGTTACTTCTTATATTTCATGTGATCCTTGGGGAAAGCTCATATTTCTGATTTTCCCTAAGCTTAAATGCCCACGTGTCACAACACGTGCCTGTGACGTGCGTTAGGTACACTGAAATATGAATAACAGCAACGTATCATTATTGCTCAATAATAACCGTTGAAAATAAATTATACACGCAGAAAAAAATAATATGCCGTCTTAGCACCTAGGATGTTAAAATGTGTCTGGTGATTGCAAGGTGCTGCCTTAACTGCCGACACAGTTGAATTCGCATTCACAGGATGTAAAGTTAACTGCGAGGGCAGTAAAGACGGCAACTTCGGATCACCAGACACATTTTCAACATCGTAAGTGCTAAAACAGCACAGAAGTTTTGAAATATTTACGTTTTAATAAATGAGGAGCATTTGAAGAGAAAAAAATACGGAGACTTTGTGGAATTGACCATTAATTCCTTCCAAAATATCGACAATCAAAGAGCTCTTCGTCATATATTTGCAACATCTCGTAAACCGTCAAAA